GGTGAGATGGGACAGTCTCCAGGAGCCCGGCGAAGGGACCCAGGGTCCTGACCTGCAGCCAGATGGACTGAGTGCTCAGCTCCAACCCAAAGGAAAGGGGGAAGCAGTCACGCCAAGCTGGCAGGGCTCACACCCCCGAGGGCCCTGGAGGTGCCTGGGCAACCTGGTTAACTCTTCTCTGGACGGTTCCTGTTCAGCACGGCCCTGGGGGTGAACTCCAACTTCTCCTTGAGGCTCACCACCTCGGTCAGGTCCTTGCCCGCACTCTCCTGCAGCTTCCTGTCCTCCCGCCGCTCTGAGATGCTCTTCTCCTCCTCGGCCGGCTGCGGGGAGTCACCACGGATGAACCACTCCAGGTGGTAGCCCACCGCCCCCACCACAAAGGCCACAGGGAAGGTGACGTAAGGGGCGTAGGTCCGCACAGTCATCCACAGCAAAGGCCACATGGCGTCGCCAGGAGAGAGCGCCAGATGTGTTCTGGAGAGGGGGGCAGAGTCAGTGTCACAGCTGCATAGACCCGCCCCCCACCCAAGGGAGAGTCGCCCCCTTCCTTCCCCGCTCCCCAGACAAACCTCCAAGATCCCAAACCATCGTCATCCCCCCACGTGACCCACCCTGCACCTCCCTCCACCCCAGGGGAGCCCAAAAATCACCACACACACTTGACTCTGCCCCTTGGCCCAGATACACCCAGCTCCAAAGCCCCAACCCGGAACTCCAGGCAAGTCACCTCCACTCTGGTAACCCCCAGGTGGCTAGATATCTCAGCTACACGTGTCCCCCCCAAACACCCACCTGGGTGGCACTGGTCAAACTCCCACCTGGGGTAGCTCGGCAACTGGGCTGCAGGGTTCCAGGGCAGTTAGGGGGCTGAAACCTCCACGCCAGCAACCTTCCCCCCCAATCCTGACAGCTTCTAGGGTGCCTAGGGGAAGGCAAGGGCAATGAGCCTCTCCAGGGTCTCCTGCTCCAGCAGAGCCCAATCCCTAAGAGAAAGGGCAGAACAGCACACCTCCCATTCATCTCCCAGCCCCCAGGAAACCGCTGTTGGGAGCCTGCCCTGGGCTGTGTGTTCTGCCTGGAAACCAAGGTAGAAACACAAATCCCAATCCTGATCCCTCCACCCAAGGGATAACCAAGGCAGTGGCTGGTTAGTCTGGGGCAGGGAGAGGAAAGGAATTTAGTTCTGGCGGCCTCTGGACAGTAATAGGGGCTGTACAGTGCATACACAGCTCTGCCGATGGGGGATGCCCCCCCATCCTGATCCAGGGGCCCCCCACCCGCTATTCCAGCCCTGGGTTCCCCACGCACACAGCTCAGCCCCTGTCCCCCAACCCTGATCCACGCTCCCCCCACCCGCTATTCCAGCCTGGGCTCCCCACACACACAGCTCAGCCCCTGCCCCCCGACCCTGATCCACGCCCCCCCCCCGGGCTCCCCCACGCACACAGCTCAGCCCCCCGACCCTGATCCACGCCCCCCCTCACCCGCTATTCCA